TGTGGGGCCATTACAGCTGGAGATGTGGGGTCATTACCGCTTGAGATGTGAAGCCATTACCGCTTCAGATGTGGGGCCATTACAGCTGGAGATGTGGGGTCATTACCGCTTGAGATGTGAAGCCATTACCGCTTCAGATGTGGGGCCATTACCGCTGGCGACAGTCAACTAGCGGACGGCTGTGTGGGGCAGTGTGGAGCGTTAGAGGAGCAAGCTGGAGAGCATTTCACATGGTGCAGGCTGGTGCCTCTGGCATGGAAATAAAGCCATTTGATGGTTATTCGGATCAGGGAGGTCAGCACCCTGGATAGCAGCTCCATGCTAATGTGATGTTTGGGGTGGCTGTTGGGGGCTGTGGCCAATGGCGCCGTGAAGGGCGGGGCGGGGGGATTTCGGATGATTCCCTGAATGACAGGGCCCCTAAAAAATTTGGAACATTATTGGATTGGTCTGGGTTGAGGGCCCAATATGATGTGCTATCATGGGCCCAACATCTCGAGTGGCGCCCCCTCTCTGTGGCACCTTATCATTAACATAGCCATGACTGTGCTGCAGTGTGCCACACCAGGCAGAGCAGACACCCATGCAGCCAGTATGCTTCCAAAGACACACAAGACCATGGGTGGCAGCCAGCAGTATTTAAGATGGAACTGCCGCTCTTGGACTCCCTGTGGATGATGGGTTCCTTCCGGAGAGCTGGGGAGACCTCCAGACAGGTACTGAACGGGTTTAAAAATGGATACAGCTGATACATGGACAGAAACACACAGGCACGCTCAGCGGGTCCTGGTATCGGCATGGGGAAATGCAAAGAAGGCCTGCATACAGTCCGCGAAGCTGTGGGCGGACAAGGGACACAGGCTGGATGCACAGCAGGCCGCCGTGTGGCTACAGAGCGAGGCTCGGATATCGCAGGGGGTCAGCGAGATGTATGACCGCTGCCGCCGCTTCTCTATCCATCTGGCTCTGATTCATACACCCCCCCCCCACACACACGGGACACGCGACAGCACGATAGATCATCTCCCGTCGAGCTCTTTCCCGCTCACTTATTCTGTGCCAGGGGGAAGTATGACCAAGTAGGTCCTGTGATCGGAATGTCGGAGTCGCTTCCTTATTGGGTCATGCAGTTTGACGCACTCAAGGTGCTTCCAGCGCCAATGAGGCGTCACATCCACAGGAGTCAGGGCCGTCTCAGCTGCTGGCCTTTAATCATGGTGAGAACATAGTGGGCAAATTAGTCTAAATATTTGATGGGCCAAGCCATCATATTGTCTTCTGATGTCTTTTATTCTTTACTTCACGCTTTGGGGCCTCTTCCCATGGGCATCGCATCCAACGAGAGTCACTCATAGTCATTACCGCTGGCAGTGGCTGCTCGGAGTTGACAATTCCGTTAAATATAAAAATTAACAAGCTGAACATTCAGCCCTGTTCGGGCTGTGCAGTCACATGGCTGCGTTGACCAAATCTGCAGTAAGACGAAACCTACTTTCAGCTTCTTTCGGTTGCTGAATGAGATCGATGAAACCCGAATGACGATTCAGGTTAGGGGCCAATCACGTGGACCCTTGTAGGCCAAGCAAGGAGCAGTTGACAAGGGTGAGCACTGCACTTTGCATTAAAATTGCACTGCACACAGTGCTTCAAACCCGTCCTGGGGAGCTGTTCCCACTGTGAATCTCAGAAAGACAGTAACTCACCTTAAACACACCGTGAAGCAAGCATGCACTACTACGCGTTGCAGTTGGTAGACCCTACCATTTTAGTTAAGGGGGGCGGGGGTAGATTGTGCCAAACAAGCCCAAAATGGTAGATCTTGGGACCTCTATAGAGGGCTGCAGGTGGGTTGTGGCCCGTGAATCTGCCAAGGTATCCATGCCACTCCAGCATCCCTGGGTTCACAAGGCTCACAGTCTGCTCCTTACCTGGGTCAGTGCTGAGGCTTCTGCCTCCCACCCCCTGGTGGAGTTCTGTGGAATAGCAACTCTAAGCACATTGTAAGGGCCTGTGTGGGTGCCAGCGGCTGACGAGCCTGCCGCTGCTTCCTGAGCTCATCCTCTCGCGGTGCCGGGACACGCAAACACGTGTGGCTCCCTGCAGCACCACCTGTAACCAGATCCAGCTCCCAGGCCGTCACTTAGACTGAGTGGGCTATTAGGAGCTCAGGCTCTATCAAACCCAGATGTCCTTCCACTGTTTGTATAAAGCGGTTAATAACTCAAAACGAAACCCTTATAATTCAGGCAATATTGTGCTTTGGACAGCGGTTTACCGGCTGTCTAGTTTGTATTAACCTAATGGAAAATGAATGATGTTATTAATCATGTAGGGGAGGGATCTGGCAGGCATGCCAGGAGAGAGAGGGGGGCATGGGAACACTCAGAGCCGGCTTTTACGGCATCTTTCCTCTCTGCTTTCTTTTTGTCTGTGTTCCTCATCTACCACTATTCCTGAGTCAGGAAGTTCTGCCAGCCAGTGTCAGTCACGGTCTGGATCACAGTCTGGTATACAATCCGAGACAGCGGTGGAGAAACAGGTGGGATAGATCAGCTCAGGAAGGTGACTCGAGCATTCGTAGCACTGCCCCGTACCCAGAGTTTGCCCTCAGATGCAGTGAGTCCTCCAAGACACAATCCGGCTAGTCAGCTCCATAGAGAAACCTGTCTGTTTGCGAGAGTCTACATCATATCATTGTCCTTCAGCTCAGGACTGGCACTGTGTCCCTGGTTTCAAGGAAAATTGCGGGCTTTGCCTTTTTTTTTTTACAGAGGACATTCTTCACCTGCACTCTTCATGTCGTTTTCCAGAAGGTTCCCCGTGAATCCTTCACGGGTTTTGCAGGTTGTGGCTCAGCACACGCAGTCACTTGAATTTCATTCAAACTCCCTGACATACTTGTGGTCTCAGCGGCCGCGCTCTCCATGGCGCATGCTGGGTTATCCTACATGGTTACCATGATTTTTCATGCACTTTCCAGTGCTACACACTGATCACATGTATTTAGTACTGTACAGTGGGCGTACACGGACCTTTACATTTCCCATTTTCTCTGCAACCTGTAATTTACGGTGCTTCAAAAAGGTTCTAAAGCGTTAGCAACACTGTATGACTCATGAATATTGTAACGCTAAAGGTTAGCTATATATGTTACTGATTTGAGTTGTCAGCTGTGGCTACGAGCCACCTAGCTGCTTCGGTAAAGACTCAAATCCTGTTCCTTTCTATGCGGAACATCGACTATCACTGGGATTCCTGATCAGGGGCACCTGTACACCTGTACGGATGTCAACAATGTTGAAAAATCTTGCTGTTCTGCTTCTGCAGCAGACAGCTCATGTAGGGAGAAAAGCCTCTTTGCTAATCAACCAAGTGAGAGTGACTAATTAGCACTGACTGGCATCAGTCACCCCATGACAAATGCTCTTGATTTGAATTCCCTTGGCTTCTTCAGAAGCTTAAGCATGTGGACCGTGGCTGGTCGTATCTCAGTGCTGTTCTTTACACACACAAATTCACGGCCTACCAGCTCCCACACGCAGTAGTGCAGACTCGCGTCATGGTGTCTGTTTAAGGTGAGTTACTGTCTGTAAGAGACACACGGTGGGAGCAGCTCCCCAGAACCATGGGGGATCATGCTGGGCATCTGCCTGTTGGAGGCCATCTGGGTTGACCTCGTGTGTGAAAGAGCTGTTGTTTGCCTGGAACCAGGAGAGAGCACTTCCACCTGCCACTGTTTTCACAGTGCAGCCTCCCCTTCCACTTGCTAGGATTTTATTACTTTCCATCCTGTTATTCTGTGCCATTCCCTGTGACGGGGTGGAACCTGAAACCGTGTGAGTGTTTAACATTTGATCTCCGTGGGCATTTAGAACACTGAGTTTATTCTGTCTTAGAATTTAGAACTCCGGCCATTCAGAATGTCCTTTTTCTTTTATCATTCTTAATTTCTTCAACAAATCTTGGTTTGTTATTTTTGCCCAAGTCTAACACGAAGGCTTCTATGCTTACAGATTCCAATTCCATAGAACAACTTATGATAATAACTGAAAGTGTTATCCTTTCTTAAATAACGAAACTAAAAAACGTTGAATGAAGTCACTTGTAAGTGTATTGTAGCCAAAGGAAGTTTTCAATGGTTTTATTACATCAACAACATACCTGTAGTATAACTTTAAACTTCCATTGTTACTCTGGAGGTAGATTCCCATTGACTTGCAATAGGCAGGCAGCTATTTTTGAATAATTTTAGCCAGGTTAATAATCACATTAAGTGAACTTTTTTGAATGACGTTGATGTCAATGTAAACTGTAAAGGTTAACTACTTATTGAAAAGAGAAAGCAGAAGAAAATGTAGTTTTAATTTACATACACAGAACAGAGTTATGGCAGCTATCTATTTTAGAAAGATTTTAGTAAAACTATTTTAGTAATTTTGCTTTTCCTGTGTTCTATTAGTTTCTTAGAAAATTTTAAAACTTCACCTACTACTCTTTTGAGTACAGCTATCAGCTTTTTTGTAATCCCATTTCTCTGATGCAAAATGCTCTATAGAGATTACAGAATTACCTGTTGTACTACAAACTGTATACTACAGGAATACTGCAGCACAATTGTGTCTTTAGATGTATGAAGAACGTAACTCTTACTTAAGCGATACTTCACATTCCTTGTTAAGCATTCCATTTTCCTTTAGTTATTTAACTACTATTACTACAGTTCAAGGGCTTTTCTGGGCTCCGAAACATTATCCTCGCTGAGCTTTGTGTCAGAAAACTAGTTTGTAATGATCCACACTTTATTCACTGAATATCTCAAGCTTAAGGGAAAGAATAGTTTGTGAAACTCATTAAAGGCAATATTAATGGAAAACACAAAATGTTTGTTTTGGTCTCTGGGGCCTGTAGCTAATAGCAAAGTGGCAGACCCAGAACATCTCATGTTCCTCCAGGGTCTTGTAGATGTAACAGTAGCTGACTTTCTGCTCCTTCCTCTACAGTTTCATCTTGGTGTTTGGCTGCCTGGTCCTGTCCGTGTTCTCTACCATCCCTGCCCACCAGGACCTCTCATCTCACTGCCTCCTAATCCTGGTAAGGCCCCTCGCTGTCTCTGCTCAGCATCTGTGCTTAAATGAGGGCGTCTTTCCACGTGCCTGTTCAGAATGTTTTGGGTAGTTTTTTTGTCATCCCTGGAGCAGGGTAGATGAACTGTGGTGGATTTTTTTTCCTTACTTGCTGAGAAGCAAAATACTTCATGGAAATTACACACAGATGTAATAGGAGTTATGCTTATAAAAATAGCCCTCAATGATATATTCAATAAAAGTAAATTGTGCTGCACAGAACAGGCCAGTACCGTGACTCATAAACCATATATACACCCACATTTCATCCATGTTTAATTCAAAATTTATCTTCAAAGCCTAACGGGCCGATCCCAGGGGCTGAAGCAGAAACGTGCGGTCCAGCCTACAGGAGGTGAATCATAGGGTCGCAGGCCCAGCTGTGCATTTTCAGGCATCTGCACCCCGTCGGTGGGCCAAAAGAAAGGCCTTCGGGTCAGCCAGAACTTCCAAATGGTGTCCAAACGTTTCAGGTCACGACAGCGCCTGTCACCACCTCACCGAAGGCTACGGTGGGGCTCTGAGGATCGGATATACCTGCACAAAAACAGACATTCTCTTTGTGTTACGGAAGCCTCAGAGCAGTAGTTACTTCCTTATGGAGAGGAGCTGATCTGACCTGTGAGAGTAAACAGCATTCGGGGCTGCCTGCTGTCTCATTTGCATTGGCACTGCACTAGATCGCTGGTGCAGAAGGCTTCATGTGAAGGTCCTGCAAGTATATTTAAAAATTCTATAATTTAACTACATAGGGAATGTATAGTGCTCACAGAAAGTCTTGCTTAATTCTTTATTAAATTTACTGGTTTCATAACAAATGTCCATTGTCAAGCAATTGACATTTTCTTTTTATTAAGTGTCGTAATTTTTTTGACTGATTCGTTCAGTTCTGTTCCTGCCATTTTGCTGTTAATTGCGATTGTAGTCTTTGGCTCTCAAAGTGATACTAAACACAAATGCTTGGTGTCTTATGTTATTGCGAAGGTGTTACTAATTAAAAAGCACCCAAATGAGACTGCTTAACAATGAGCTTTTTTAACTCTTTTAATAGCTTTATAGCTCTTTTAGAACTATAGTTTGGGTTTCAATTTATTACTACATGAAATTAATGTTTTACTTTAAAACTTACGATTGTTCCTAATGTGATATATATTGTTCTGTAAACAAATGAAGGAATAATTTTTGTTATAAGACCAATACATTTGCAATATTTTTACTAAATAATGCAAGTTTTCCAAGACTTTCAATATGTATGGTATATGTCAGTAACATATTGATGCATGCAGTTTATATGTTACTTGAGATTAATTGCAATATTTTTAGACAAATTAAAACTAATGAAAAAAGGGAGAAGCTAAATTATTGGTTAGTTTAGTTTAGCCTGAGTCCATGATGAATCAATCCCAGCATGCTGTACCAGAATTCTCTGTGCTTGGGCCATATGAGATAATAATTCACCTGAACATGGTCCTATGGGTATCCTGATGACAGAGGAGCTTCTCTCCTTGTTTAAAAACTTGCCTCAGTTTCATATCGATTCTCCATCTTGTCTGTATTGATTTCCTGCTTGACTGCCGTAGTGGATGAATGTTCAGCAACGTGCGTCGTCTGTCCCGTGCTTTTTGCTAAGCCATTGGAGACGTACGCTCAAACATGGCGGGCGAGGCGCCACACTTAAGGTCAAAGGTCAAATAAAGGGGTCAAAGGTCCCTTTGTATTATGTCCCCCGTATCATGGAAATGTGACATCTTGTGGGCAGATACTGGGAGGCCTTTAGGTTGTATGCCCAGGACAAGCAGACTCTGCGGAGATTCGACAAACGCCTCCATTTTTTCCTGTCCATTGTGTTCCACAGGAAAAGCATTATATGCTGTGGAGGAAGCCAGCATCATTACCAACGGCCATAATTGGGGGCAGCCCGCCATGAAGCAGTGGGGATCCAGTAATAGAGTGGTGTAAGCGTTAGAGAGTTTGAGGGCCCGTGTCAATGGTGAATAAATATGCTGTTAATTCCGTTAATGAGGGAGGGCAATTAGCCCCCCACGGGGCCAGTGCATGGAGCCCAGGCGTGAGCAGCGGTGAGCTCAGGTGCCAGTGCTCATTTCCACTTCCCCATAGACCGGCGCTCCTTAATGGGATGTGTCGCTTCCCATTCCTCCCGGCTGGGAAAGTGGGAACCACCACAGCCTGTGGCAGGAGAGATGGAGGAGCCGTAGGCCTCCGATCGGAAGTCTCAGTGCTGGGGCGCAGCAGCAGCTCACGCGCAGTGAAAATGGCCGCGAGGAATGAAACGATGCTTTGTTTGCACAATTTCTTTCCACACATTCTGCCTTGCTTTCTGCTGAGACACACATGCAGTTGAGAATAAAGCTCAGGGTCCGAGCACAGGGTCAGCCTTTTATCCAGTTCCCCCCCCGGAGCATTTCAGGACGTTAAGGATCTTGCTCGAGGGTCCAACCCGCTGAACGACACACCTCCGCCCCCCAATTAAGCACCGAAATTCAGATTCCTAACACAAAGTTAGCTTTCAAGACGGCCGCATGCATTCTCTGGCATTTTCCAGCAGCCAGTCACCTATCAACGTTTTCATGGCAAACTGTTCATTCATTAAATCAAAGATAAACAGAGTTAATTGGACTGGGTAGATGTCAAGTGCATTAATAACAAATAACGCCACTGGGACTGTTTCCGTCAGGGAGTGTGAGAAGAAGGCAGCATGACGGCTGTAATGTTAGTTTTGCTCAATGCGGATCAGCACATTAGGCCGCGAGTTGTAGGATTTCATGCTTCTGGAAAGCCCAGGAGGCTAATGTGCTCTGTCCACTACAACCCCACTGAGCTTCCCGCCTGCTGTCGCAATCCCCCCCTTCCTGTCTCCCACAGGAGTTTGTGATGATAGTGGTGTTTGGCCTGGAGTACATCATCCGCATCTGGTCTGCAGGCTGCTGCTGCCGCTACCGCGGCTGGCAGGGCCGCCTGCGCTTCGCCAGGAAGCCCTTCTGCGTCATAGGTGGGTCCCTCGCCGGGGTCCCGCCCCTCCTGCACGTTGTCACGGGGATTCGCCATCTCGGTGCGGCATTCCCGGTGACATGAACATGTCAGCAGATCAGAGGCACGTTCTTAATGGTACTCTGAAACAGTCCCATGATGCTCTGCAGCCAATCGTTACAACTGGAAAAGGTCAGAGTGGGCCCCTAGGTCAATAGGTCACTCTGTTGCCTAGCTGCCCGTAAAGTCTTTTATTGGTTGTTCCCTATTACGGCCAACTATGAACTGCATAGGGAGTCCTAGAGATGCACTTTCTGTAAAGATCTTCTTCATCACCAGAGAAGCTGTGATAATGGCAGTTCTTGATGTTAGGTAGGAAGGACGAGTCCAGATGACAGGTACGATTATTGAGAGGCGTAGCGGCATTGCTAAACTCCGCTCAGGGCTGGGAATCGCGACCAGGCGAACATGTGGCTCGCATTAACGGGGGAAGAGGTGCCTGGCGTTGTAAGGTAACCAGACGAGCTTTTCGTCTGTTTGCTCTCCAGGGCTTGCTTTGCGTGCGGCAGGCTGCCATTGGGAAACCAGGGTCTGGGCTACTGTTCCCGGATGAACGCACGTCAACGCAGCCTGATCTGGCTACTGAATGAGAGGCCGGTGGAAACCGGACCCAATTAAGTGACCTCTCCGTCTGCCACCAACGTCTCAGGTCTCCGGGTTACTAGAGCCAGCAGCCCGGTGGCGGAGTTAACTGGGAATTCATCCAGTGCCGTAATTTACGGACTGTTGGGAAACTGGAAAAGTATTCATGCAGAGCTGACAGGAAAGCAGAAAATGACCAGTCTGCGTCAGGGGAGCGGGCTTGTTAAAAGCAGCTCAGGTTGAACTTTCCGAGCTACTGTGTGAGGAGAAAACGAAAGCGGGATGTAAAGTCCGACCCCAGTGAAAATCCCGATCTGCAGACACTGTATTCGCAGGATGGGTGATTACAGTAGCAGAATAGCACAAGAAGTCATAAGGGTGACTTAAAATTGGTTTAAACAAGTAAAACACCTTCTGAACATTCTATTGGGTGTATTCTTTACGGTTCTTAACGTGAAGAATGGGTATTTGAATAGACCGCTGATAATTTGTGGTGCCGTCTATGAATTAGGGATTTGCCTTTGAGTTTTCAGGAATGTCAGTCCCATGCCAGGTAGCTCTGCTTTCTGTTCCAGGCAAATCTAGGCGATTTTGATAAACGTAGGGTTTTGTTTTGATCTCGCTCTTGTTTGTGATGAGTTTCAACGTAACTTAGGGATCATTTAAGAATTAAGTGGCTGAAATTGAGCTTTAGTTAATGGGAACTTAGAAGGTTTGACTTCTATGGAGAACAGTACTTCCCTGCCTTGAAGTTATAATGGCGTCCTCTGGGTGGTAGAAGGGCAGCTGTACAGGGATACTCTGGAAGTGGAACTGCAAACGATCGCCGTGTCTCTCTGCAGAGACCCACACATCCTCCCTCCCAACATGTGTTTGTCATTTAGAAGACACAGTATTCTACATCGCCCTTTGACCTTTTCCCGGTGACCTCTGTACCCCGCAGAGAGACACATTGTAGCACATAGTAAAATCGCTGATGTGAAGGAAAAAAAAATGTGTATCACAGAAGAAAATGGTACAAATATGTTAATTCAGTGTCCTGTTTCATTTTCTGTACCATCAAAAAAGAGAGAGGCAAACTTGATTGATGTGATTTTTGGGAAATATAATACTATTCCTGTGTAGGCATAAGTGATTCCCTCCTTCGAGTGTTTGTGTTTTTTGAGGATTTAGTGTTATTTTTCCAGAGGAAATGGGTTCTTGTAAACTCCCCCAGGGGCCTCTTTGTCCTCAGATTCTCTGGAAAAAAGACGGAAGAAACCTGAGTCTCATCATTTAGTCGATGCTCCGTGTGTGTTTTTGTTACCTGCCTCTGGGATGGGGGAGAACTCTGGACTCCTTCCCCTCCCTTCCGATGGGCCACGCTGCTGTACAAGGGTCCCAGGCACAAAATGGCAAGATGCCCTTAGATACCTGGGTCTGTGGCGTAAACACAAGTGTGCAAAGGATAATGGCAGCTTCGGGGTTCCTCTCTCCTGCGCCTGCTAGCTCACTTACGGAAGGACTGCCAGGCAGCTCTGAGTCTAACTGCTGCTTCCATCCAACCGGCCTCCGAGTCAGGATTCTCTGGCCCATCTGTGACCTCCATTGTCTGTCCCACAGCGACGATGTGCGCTGAAGTGACTGACGAAAAGGGCTGCAAGTGCAGGCCGGCATTCCAGACAGCTTCTGAATCATATCAATTAATCGACAAAATATTACCATTTAGAATGAAAAAGAACATTTACTGTATGCTGTGGATCTAAATTAAGGGCACAGCCGAGCTGTCTCTCTACTGTAGATATTTTTGTTGCCTAGTTGGCTATTGATATTTAGCTTAGTAGCCGAATGGCTAACTGTGTGGCGATGTGTTTGTGGAACCCTTACTAGGGTTTAGAAGGGTTAGGGTTAAGGTGAAGGTTCACTTAATTGGGTAACGCTTTACATTAAGTGCACCTTCATAATGCATTCATAGAACACTCAGGGCACCTTCATAATGCATTCATAGAACATTCAGGGCACCTTCATAATGCATTCATAGAACATTCATACAACAATCATAAGCAGCATGCAAGTACGCCTTTACATCCTAACAGGCCTTAACAGCTTTAATATACATTAATATCAAACATTACATGATTATACAATTATAATGTTTGTTATTAATGTATAGTATAGCTGTTAAGGGATGTTTGGATGTTAAGGTATACATACATGATGTTTATGAATGTTTTATGAATACTTAATGAATACATTATGAAGGTGTACGGAACATTTTATGAATGCAATATAAAAGCATTATGAAGGTGCAGTTAATATAAAGTGTTACCCTTCATTGTCATCAAGAACTGTTTATGTATTGTACATAGTGAGATGAAACAGCGTTCCTCCGTGATCGCAGTGCACATATAACAGTAACAATACACAATAACTATACCGCACAATAACAATACCTATCTAAAGTGCAGACAGTAGCCCCTGTATGCCGCTGTGTGGTACCTGTTCATGAAACCTGTCCACTGACCCCCATTCCCTGTACACAGACATCATTGTGCTAATTGCCTCGGTGGCTGTGGTGTCGGCGGGCAGCCAGGGCAACATCTTCGCCACGTCTGCTCTGCGCAGCCTGCGCTTCCTGCAGATCCTGCGCATGGTGCGGATGGACCGGCGGGGCGGCACCTGGAAGCTTCTGGGCTCAGTGGTCTACGCCCACAGTAAGGTAGGTCAACAGTAATATTGGTGCACTGTAAAGTAGGCCCACAGTAATGTATGTGCACTGTAAAGTAGGCCCACAGTAATGTATGTGCACTGTAAAGTAGGCCCACAGTAAGGTAGGCCCATAGTAAAGTAGGTACACTGTGAAACAGGCCCATAGTAAGGTAGGTCCACAGTAATATAGGTGCACTGTAAAGTAGGTCCACAGTAAGATAGGTGCACTGTAAAACAGGTCCACAATAATGTACATGCATTATAAAGTAGGCCCACTGAAAGGTAGGTCCACATTAATGTAGGTGCACTGTAAGGTGGGTTCACAGTATGGTAGCTCCCACAGTAAGATAGGCCCACAGTAAGGCAGGCCCTTTCCTTGCAGGCAGGGTCAAGCTGGAAAACTGGCTTTGACCTGATTCTACTGTGGTTCATAGCTTGTACCAACATACCATCATGGTCTGTGATGTAGAGTCCAGTCTGTGCCATGGTTGTTGTTTTCTTTCGTCCTCCTTGTTTCTGGTCTGGATTGTCGGTCGTTTGGAGCTGCTGGGGAGCTCATTGTATGTGTGGCTTTCTCCCGCAGGAGCTCGCCACGGCCTGGTACATTGGCTTCCTCGTTCTCATCTTCTCCTCATTCCTGGTCTACCTGGTGGAGAAAGAGTTCAACACAGAGTTTGCCACGTATGCTGATGCTCTGTGGTGGGGCACGGTGAGCGCTTTTCCCATAATCCCGCAGTGGTGTCACGCCTGTAGGATGCGGTAGGCTTTATAAGTTTTCCTGCGGATCACACGTAGCTCTGCTGTGCGCTTGGTTCTGTCACACTGGAGACAAAACAACACAGTAATCCTCAAAACACGCTTCACAGAAGGTTTTTGGGGTCCTCTCAGTCTCAATCCCTGTTTCAGTATCTCCTTCATTCCCTCTAAATGTTTATCCTAGTAGAGTTTCCATGAAAAATGTGGTGCGTGGTGGGGAACTGGAGGGAACTCTCTGTCTCTCTCTACTGGGGCTGTCAGAGGAAGTCACTGTTGTTCTCAGGCTACTGTTTATTGTAAAGGTTTGGATTCCAAGCAATAACACACAAATCGTGCTGATTTCGGCAATGAGTCACATCATTCGTTCTACTCAAGTGGGTCAGTTATTCACTTCTCGTGGTAGGAGAGAGGTACCAGGTTTTCTATAGTTATATATGTATGTGTATGTATATATATATATATATATATATATATATATGCCACATTATAATAGTTGCATCATGAATATGCATTACTAGGCTCTATAATACAGGGCACGCGGGTTTATTACAATAGTTGCACTTGTAGAAAATGGAGGTTGGGACTATTCTGTGTTTTGATTATTTATTTGATAGTTACCCTAGTAGCTGCGACCATGTCCTCATAATAAAGGAGTGGAGATTAGCATGTAATGTAGCATGTTTTAAAGCTTTCAGGTTGCCCGCAGGTACAGGTCATATGAATGCTGAGCCTTTTGACAAATGGCCAGCTGTTTTCGCTAAGCATTGCGTGTCCTTGAACGAATCGGCAAGTGCAATTTTTTTCCCTCCCTTTTTGTTCCATCCGACTGTAGCAGTCATATTCAGCGTTTAGAGTTCATGTGAGAGCAGGGAGTTTGAATGACACTTGGGTACGCCTGCTCATTGCTGTCATGTGACATCTCTGATCAGATTCCTGTCTGGGCAGACAGCTGTCCGGCACGCATACGGGGCAGACTCCCGACCAGGCATGACACTGTGCTCTCTCAAAGACCTGGATTCTGAGTCACTTTCATAGGCCGTTCTTAGCCTCTTTCGCCTGACGGGTCGCTCGCTCTTACCAGAGCCCTCCAGTTTATTTTGGCCCGCTCGTTATTTGACAGAGAACCTGAGCCTCCCATTTATTAGCAAGGAAAATTGAGGAGCGTACATGTGGTTCTCAAACCACGTCTCTTTTTGTCCAGACCAAACAGGCAAACAATCAAATGGTTGAAGGGTTGTTTGGCTAGAGATACTTATTGTTTTAATTGGACAAAGCAATAAAGAAATTGCACTGGGGAACAAAGAGAATTGCATGCATGGGTAGCAAAATTGCTGGTCTTAAAACTTCACATAAGACTAAATTACTAGGTTTACAGTAGTCCTCTGGGTTCTTTTTTCTTTTGCTGCTATTAATATTCTGTGTTGTCTACAGTCAGTTTTTGTCTTGAGTTACTGTGTCATGTGTTCACCAACATTTCTGGTCCAAGGAAACAGTTTTGCTGTTACTGTACTCTAACACATGTCTTCGTCTTAGAGGCACGAGGCTGAGGCTGTTCATGCAGAAGTACTGCTGGGACTGCCATAGCTGAAGTCTCTGATGCCGTTAGCGCTGCTGCCCCTAGTGGCGATTCACAGTGAAATGCGTTCAAACACTCAAATGAGTTCAGTGTAGTAGTAGTACTATCCCGCAAGTTCAGTTCAATATGTCTCCAATATGATCACTTGAAAGAACGATTCAGGCACACCACTGCAAGTCGATTTCTAGGAAATAAGGAAGAAAATGACTTAAAAGTCAGTGTGAGGTGGTATATGGCTTTGTGGGTTAGGACTCGTGCCTGTGATCGTAAGGTTACTGGGCCAAATCCCATTGTTGTCAGATTGATTCTACTATGGGCCGAATGGCCTCCTCTCGTTTGTATAGTTCTTATTGGGACCTTGATTAAGGCCCTTGACCTCAATTGCTCCAAGGAACTGGCTGGTCCTGCTTTCTTGAACTTGAGCATAAAGAGTCACAGTCACAGACTACTGAGCTGGTTGGTTGAAACAAAACCTTGATCTGGATTTGTACCTTCTGGACCTCTTTCTGGTGTTCTTGAACTTTCTACCTCTGTCTTTAATGGATTACTTTTGTGAGTGACTTGCCCAACACTGTAAATATGTAAATGAATAAGTAAAATCAGAAATGTATACATGTGCAGAGGAGGTCCTGTTAACCCTTTGCCGTTCTCAGATCACCCTCACCACCATTGGCTACGGGGATAAGACCCCCCAGACGTGGACGGGCCGCCTGCTCTCGGCCGGTTTTGCCCTGCTGGGCATCTCCTTCTTCGCCCTCCCTGCGGTAAGTGGACATCCAAGCTGAGCCGCGAGGAATCCCCACCTGGCGACTTGGTTACCCAGCAGGACCGTTACGGTGCCGTCGCGCTTTTTGCCCGCAGGGGATTCTGGGATCTGGGTTTGCACTGAAGGTCCAGGAGCAGCACAGGCAGAAGCACTTTGAGAAGAGGAGGAACCCGGCTGCCAGTCTTATCCAGGTAAGCAGGTTCCCACCCTAACCACACTTATATATACACACACCACAGATTCCAGCCAATGAAATCCAGGTAAACACCACTTCTGGTGCACGTCACATTGTCATTTATGGCAGATTCCAGTCTGATTTTGACTGAAAATTGTATTATTATTATTACTATTATTATTGTTATTTTTATTATTATTATTCTGTTATTGCTTTGCCATCCAGAGTGTCCCCTTGCCTTTTGACCCGTGTCTCCTTGGGCAGGCTTCAGGCCAACACCCAGTACTGATTGTGACCCTGTACTGGATAAGTAACCAGCACAGCACTCCCCAGTATCAGTCTCTGCACATGCCTTTGTTTTATCTGTCTCATCTCCTGCTAGGATTTAAGCTCAGTACCTGTCTTTGCCCCCTTTGTTAGATTTAGCTGTTTCAATCTGATCAAGGAGGGAAAAAACTATATCTATAAGTGTTTTGAAACCCCGAATAGGAAGGAACCCAAAGCTAACATTTTCTGTGCAGTGGGCATGTTTTGGATGAAGGGATTGCAGCACACCAGAGAGTCCCAAAAGCCGGATCTGGAGGGAATGAGCGCTTGTTTGTCAGTGGGAGTGACCTTCTGGGGTGTGTACTGTTCCTGTCATGTGACATCCATTTAAGCAGCAGCTGACCAGCCTTCCAACGTGTTTGTTAATGAATTGAAATGAAAAGCCCTCCCTGCTCCATCTACTCCAGTGCTTCCCATCCCAGTCCTCTGAGATCCCTCCCAACTCCCAGCCATCAAGAACATAAAATACCTCGTACAGGTGTGTTGGGATCTGGGAGGGACTGTCTGAGGGTCTCCGAGGACTGGGTTGAGAAAAACTGCTCTAGCCATATTGGTAAGTGGTGGCGTGAGCGCCTGGAGATGTTTTGGTTCCTGGATCATTGTGACTCTATTGCCATGCAGTCTCGTTTCACTCTGGTGTGCTTTCCTCCATCCAGCCAATCGGGAAGGTACCTGCGAGGTGGGGAGGAGCTTGGCAGGCGTCCAGCATCTTCCGGGTGTCCGCCTCATTGTCCAATAACCAAGCTTACTCTCCCCAGGGCCTGGACTGTGATCTCAGGGGCGGGGCGGGGCAGGGGGGGGGATTAAGGGGAGAGGGGGGGGGGGGGAGGGGGGGGGGGGGGGGGGGGGGGGGGGGGGGGGGGGGGGGGGGGGGGGGGGTTGCGGGTGTTATATGCCTCTTTCTTAAGTCAGGCCTAACCCTGGCCATGTGGTGTTGAGGTCCGCAAAGAATGATGGTGAATACGAGCTTCACAAGGATGATTGTTTTAAGGCTAATAAATTAAGAGACATGAGTTAGTGGTAAAACGATTCACTATTTGGCTGTTTGGTATCTGTAACCATATTGGAGATTCTCCATATTTGTTGCACATATTCATTGACTTGATTTTTATTACATCACTATAGTTCTGTCGTCATTAGTGAGATTCCAAGGTTGCCATGGATATTTCTCAATAACGTTCACTAGCAAAACAGCTGAAACTGGTCATTTGGGGCTGAATTTGCAGCTGCTTAGACCCTTTCACCCTCATTCAGTCTGGCCTTTGTTGGGGGGGGGGTCAGTAGAACCTTCCGAGCTCGTCTTAAGAAAGAGGCTTTGTTGCTCCTGCTGTAGGCCTGACACTCTGACCTCTCAGTCTGACTTCAGCACCCTGCAACTCCTCTGTGTCTCTCCTTCTGCACCAGGCCGCGTGGCGCCTTTATTCCACGGATGGAGCCCGATCGTACCTGAGCGCCACCTGGCAGTACTATAGAGGGGTCCTCCCTTCTCTCAGGCATGTACGATGCTCTGATTGGACCGCAACACTCCGACTGTATCTGTTTTACTAATATGCACCTTTTTGTTTTGTTTTGTTTTTGTTCGTTCATTTTCCTTTCGTTTTGTAACATCCCCTCCCCCGCTCCCTCTGGCCTTGTTTCAATTTTTCTGTTTCAATCGTTCCTTTCTTTCTTTCTTTTTTCCATCGCCCCCTACCCTCCTTTCCCGTCCCCCTGGTGTCGTGTGTTCTTGCGCGTAGTGTGTTTGGCGTAATTATGCGGCTGATGAGAACTCGGTTTCCATTGCTACCTGGAAGCCCCATGTGAGGGCCTTGCATTCCTGCAGTCCTACACAGTAGGTACCCCCCCTGTGGCAGCTGCTGTGTTCGATGTCTGTGCGCCTTTAGCTTTCTCCTGCGCCGCCTTTCTCTGTCTGTCTCAGCACAATGCATCCTGTTCATCTTCTGTCTATCTGATCTCTGTGGAGCGGCAGTGAGACAGGCCATTACGTTTACCTAGCCCTTTCTAGGGAATGCAACACAACAAAAGGCACGCTCGGATAGGTCCGCGTTGCTGTGGGTACGGAGCAAGCCAACTCCCAAACTGCAGGGGACTCTGGGTCGGTTGAACTCCTAAGAGGATCACTTGAAACTCCGCCATCTGTCGGCATGATTCGAGCTCAAGACCCGCACTCCCACACGAGATGACTTGCTAAAGTTTGGTGAACCAGCTGTACTCCTTACTCATAAGACTGCTGTGTTAGCAAAATCACTCTGTTTCATACGGACATGCTTACATATGTATCTATGGTGTATTTTCGGAGGGTCTTGAGGTAACCAACAAGCTGCGGAGTAACTCAGACAGACCGCTGACACTGGCCTGAACTAAAGTCTCACTGAGAAGACATGCGTAGGACCTTTGGGTACCTGCAGGGCATTGGAGAGTCTCAAACACAGAGATTCTCACACAACAGATATTCTGAAATACAGAGTGACAGAAATTCAGAAGCACATAAGCTCAAATGTCCTCAAGCCCAGAGATTCTCGAAATTAGCACAGAGTTACTCAAACACAGAGATTCTCGAAGACGGACATTCTCAGACAGAGATTCTCAAATGCAGGGTGACAGAGATTCCCATGCACACAGACCCTCAAGCACAGAGATACTCAAGCAGAGAAATTCTCAGGCACAGAGATTCTTCTGCAGAACTAAGGGCAAACCAGGCCGGATCATAGCTGTGTTCCTCCCCCTTCCTGTGCCTCCTGCTCTTCTTAGATTCTTCCCAATAAGCCAGTCTGCATGTTTGCTTCCTGTTGCCGTGTTCGCCTCGCCAAACTAGCTTGATACTCGGTTATTTTCCTTTGTGTCTTGTGCGCGACAGTCTGCCTGCTTCTTTACTCACTTATTTACTTTTGATTGTGCAGTCACAGGCGATGGCAGTGACGATGACCTATCGAAATTTATCTCTGTCAGTGTCACCAGGCCAGTTGTGTGTCTGTCAGTGGCTGTGTGGTTAAGTCAAGAATTAATCCTATAATGTTTGTCCTTTCTCTATCATTTACTAACACCTGAAGGAAAGACCAGGGCGACAACTCAAACAGGTTCGTAGTGCTACGTTATATATCCAACACTATAAAGCTACTTTGATTTTTTTTCTTTTTGGTCTCTTTTAAAATATTCGGTTGACTACCTGTTCTCTATTTTGTTTATTTAGTTTTGTCACCTTGAACTTTAATTGATTTTGGTGATGAAACAAAAATGTGTTTTAATAGGCTACAGGATATAAAATGGGTATAGATTATGAATATGTCATTTATATAAGGGTGATATGTATGAATATAATTGCCCTTTTGTAGATTTGACATTTTCACTGGAGTTTTTAGTGGAGATAGATTTTTGGAGGGAGGGTCTGATTCGTAGCCCAAACAGCAGCCAGAGAGAATAGGGGGAGGTGGGTTCGAGGCGAGCATCCCAGGGCCAGCCTGGTCTTGGCCGAGGGTCAATCTGTCCTTCCGTATCCTCTGTCGTTTGCACTCCTGGCGCGTCGCCCTCGGTCTGTGCGGACAGACCACAGGGCCAGCCAGGGGTGGCATATGTCAGTCGCCGGTTTCCAAGAGCAACCGCGGTGAAGCGAATCGGCGTGGCGTAGCCGAGATACCGCACGGCACGTCCCCTGGTGTCTGTGAGCAAGCATTCGCCCCAAAATGATAGACTCATTAAGAAACAGCCCATGTATGGAAGTGCTGAGGTACCAGATCCCTGGGCACTAAGAGACAAGTTGGAGTTCAGTACCACCCGCCCCCCGCCCCCCGCAGTACAGCTGATGGTGCTGTAAGTTCGCTAAGGGCTGCTTTATTTAAACCACCTCTTGCCTGCAGAGGGCTGCTCTCATTACATGGCCCTTCTCTGGTAATAAGCATCACGCGGCCTTTTATATTTCCTCTTAGTTCCATAAATCAGGCTTTTGTTAAGTGCAGGAAGAATGGAAACAGTGTATGTGTTAAAGGCAGAGGTAGGAGCGGTAGTTCTACCTGCAGCAAGGAACAGGTGGGGAATCTGCATCTTCTGGAAAAGTGGTGGATGTCGGTCATCCCCCGAGGCCTGAATCGCTTCTTCTGCTTCGGCCTTACGGTGTGCCAACATCGTCGAAACCAGTGATGTCAGGGAATTGCACTCAGATTAGCCAGACACTAAGCAGAATGCTTAGAAGGGTTAGGGCTAGGGTTAGGGTTAGGGTTAGGGTTAGCATGAATCTGCATGATTCGTAAAGTATATGAAAGTATATGAGAAGAAGGAAAGTGGTCATATGATTGATGACTTTCTGTACCATCAACAGCTACAGAGAGGTGGACCGGTAGCAGATCTGTACCCCCTCGATAGATCTACAACAGTTGGTACAGTAGGTGTAGATCTATATGTCATTAGTGAGAAATAGTAAAGTCTTTATGCCCTTTGTAGAAATAACGGGGAGGATCCAGGCTAGATCTTTCTGTCCTTGGTAGGTATAATGGAGAGGTAGTTCTGTGCGTCCCAAATAGATGTTTTAGCGTGTGTCTGAAGCAGGTCTGTGTGCCCTCAGTAGTAATGGCAAAATGGACCTGGAATATGTTTTGTTATTTTTTCCACTATCATGTCAAACAATGAGTCCAGACGAGGGCAAACAAGGGTGAACCAGGCCAGATTTATCTGCTTTCACGCCGGTTTAACTTAGAAGTATTAGCTAAATTAAAAATAGTCCAGCTAGTCCATTCTCTGGGGAGATCTTAGACAAAAAGCACCAGATTTCTAAATGACAAATAGTGCAATGCATCTCATTATAGGGGATAGGAATAATGAGAGAAGTTCATTGCAAGCTCAAAATTCTTAGCGAAGATGAACAGAGATAAATGTGAGAGAATGATATGTGGTTATAGAATATTCACTCAAAACTGTTGGGTGCAGAAGACATTTTATACATAGCAGTATTCCACGATAAGACTTTCATTGATGTTGTGATGTCACACTATTCAACCAATGACAGAATGATACAGTTTAACGTCATCTCAGGCCCCGAGCTTGGTACGGCCTGACGCCTCATGCTCTGTCACGGCGTGTCAAGCAGAGATGGTGACGGAGAAGCAAACCTGGCGCAGACTGACAGTTCAAAAATGACTTTCGGTAGCGGGCCTGTGCCATCGTCCCCATCGGGAAATTAATGAGTCTTCTAATTCCAGTTACAATTCTTTGCTACTTTGCCAAGAGTTTTATGCAAGTCATTTTTCAATTAGTGAGCGATTTTCGTCCTGTGTCTAGCTATGAAATTTCCCTACCTGAACAAGAGGTCTGCGTCCATTATAGCAACGTTGGCTGCTTGTTGGTGGAGTCTGTCGCTTTTAAACATGCCAGCTGAAACCCCGATGCTTGTTTGCATGTTAGTCGCTGGGGAGAGTGGACGGCGTTTGTGGCAGCGCGTGCGCCTGGGTCCTGTCCACATTATTGCCCTCTTGGGTGCCTCTGGACGATATCGCTGTATATCAGACTACCAAAATACATTACCGGTGAACTGCTAAGCAAAACATAATCATGTAAATGGATGAATCATCCTGTAATGTTGTTTTAAAATGACTGATGTCCAATTATTTTAGGCTGCAATGGTGTGATGTGTTGTTTATGCAACTCCAGTTGAAAAGGGAAGGGATTTTTTTTTTGCCTTTTTTCCCCCCTCCTGTTGCCTCTGCTGCCCCCTGCTGGTGTAATAATGAATGATTATTTGTCTCCCCTTGGACCCTAGTAAGAGCCTTAGTAATAAGCAGAGACTCTTCAGGAAGTATACGTCACGGAAACATAGGTACCCAGCTTGGTCACATGATCTTTGGGAATGCTAATTAAATCTAGGTGCATGAGCAATGACAGAAAAATTCCTCTCTGTCGCCCCTCCTCCTCACCTCTACCTCCCCCCACCCTTACTTTTGAAAATCCATTTAATTTGGTGGATTTTCTTTGATTTGGAGTCTACTTCCCATTGGCCCATGCTATCTGCTCCCTGATTGGTCGTACCAGGACAGTCACGCAAATGTTCTCCCACTCCTGCATTACTCACCACCACTCCTACACGCATGTGCACAGTATAAGTTCTATTGTTCATATGCTCTAACACTCTGAATGCCTCGTCCAATCAGGTGTTAGAATGCTGGCTCCTCCCATTTCATCACCCTGATAATGACTTTGAGTCGACATGCTTCAGTCAGCAGTACAACTGTCCGAAGGTCCTGCTGATTAATGCGTTGAGTTTAATGACTCCTCCTGCTGCATGACCCCTGCATGACCCCGTTCCCCCCTCCCCGACTCTTCCCCCCCTTCAGCTGCTGCCATCCTGTGTTCCATCACCCTGGCGATGGACCCTCATACTGGAAAGTCTCTTCATGGCCCCGGCCCCTCCCTACTTGGGCATCTTGCGGCAATGCATGCTGGGTAGCTTAGCGTATTTCAAAGGTGGTGCCTGTTCGACCCACCCTCAGCTCACACTGCTCACTCCATGTCAGTCTCAGCCAGTCCTTCTAGAAACGTCTTTATATTATGCGACACTTATATTTCGCAAGATTGGGTTCCCTAACTGCCTGATGGAGGTATCTGAAAAGATAAACATGCTGGTGGTATTACAAGCATGTGTCTCTTGACGGGGTGAGCATGCCAGGTTTAGCTGTGCACGCCTGAGTTCTGTGCTTGCGTTTTGGGAGCCGGTCAGCATTCGCTAAGTAGTAATTCCTGTGCGTCCTTTCAACGCAGCCAGAAGTTGAGCTTCAAGGAGCGCGTGCGGATGGCCAGCCCCCGCGGGCACAGCATCAGGAGTCGCCAGGCCTCAGCTAGCGACCGGCGCTCCCCCGGACCCGAGGTGGCCCTGGAGGGGGGCAGTCCAGCCAAAGTGCAGAAGAGTTGGAGCTTCAACGACCGCACCAGGTTCCGCCCCTCGCTCCGCCTCAAGAGCCAACCGCGCGCCGCCTCTGAGGGTGAGACGACTCCCTATTGGCCGGCTGAATAAGCGCTGACTCATGTGGTGGATATCAGAAGAGAAATACAGGTTTTTATAAAAATGTAACCCAGGTTAACCGCAGAAAAAAAAGGAATATCACAAATTCCTTCAACATCCAAGATAAAAACCTGCTCTTTAATCTAATCGTAAGAACTGAAGAAAAAACTTTTACTGGCAAGCTTATGAAATGTGTGTTTCAAGAAGGTAAACATTTATTCTGGGATACAAAAGAGAACATTTAAGGAAATATGCATTTGAGGTTCAAAAGAGCCCCCCCCCGGTTCAGGTAATTTGGACCAATCACGTAGTCCGTGTATTCCCTAGATGAGTGGCATTTTACAGTGTGATTAGAATGGACGCCCACGTGCACAGTCCTACAAATTATGGCTCTAAAAGCAGCACTGGAACTGCGGTGAGACACAGCGTGAGTCTGGCGTCTAGATACATGGGGTTCTCCTGATGGTCCGGGGGACAGCACAAATGAGCTTCCTGTAACTGTGCATGACACCGGGGTCCTGAATCGCTTGGGGCGGTTGACGGTGATCGCCTCTCCTTCCTGTAAATAATCACGAGTTATCGCGTCACGGGTGACGTTCCCGGGTCGGACGTGCCCTGTGCGATTGCGCTTTCGGCCGCTGTTATATCCCAGCTCTCTGCGTTCTGAATGTTTACAGGTGGGTCGCCCCAGGTGTAATGATGACTAATGACGGTTAATGGCGCTTAATGGCGGTCAATGACGGTTAATGGCGTAATGAGCAGTAATGAGGCTTGTTATAGGGGTAGAGCGCGTATTTGTGAAGATGACGAGGGTGAGATGAGAGGATGGCGTCCATGACTGGCTTTACTCAAAAATAGTTTCACCACGGCCAAGTATTTATCCAGTTGTTTTTGTTTTTGCACGTGTTTGTTTGCATACAGATTCACCTGTTTGCACGGATGCCAGCAGCAGTAGCAGATTGGTACGAGCAGCATAGTAATGTGATGCCTCCCTCCCTCTTTTTCTCTCTCTTTTTCTCTCCCTCTCTCTCTCTGTCTCTGCACCAGCGGATGCCAGCCAGGGCACTGATGATGCCTTTGATGACAAGGTGTGCCAATGCGACATGTCGGTAGTGGACTTGACACCGCCCCTCAAGTCTGTAATCAGGGCTGTCAGGTGAGAGAATGAGGGCGGGGTTTAAGTAGAAATGGGGTGTGGCCTGTTGGATAGTGGGTGTGGCTTATAAGTGGGTGTGACCTAATCGGGAGTTTCTGTGCCTATACCTACAGTATTACAAACACTTGCTTGATCTGTAATATGTATATTTAATCTATGCCTTGTTCCTTTTCCGGAATTCTAAGCGGCTGTTCTCCAAGTTGCATTTCAGTCAAGCTGGCCACATTTTAGTTGGTACTGCCCTCTAATGGCCAGATTGGTGAGCTGCAACTTAGTGTCATTTAGAAGCCAGGCAATAATATCTGTTTCCAGTTTATTTTCAAGTATTCTGTCATAATGTTAATATGTTGATTGTGTTGTTCATGTGCGCGGCCAGCACTTTTCTCCTGATTGGCTTAAACAGATGCATGTGTAACTTTATTTTATACTCTCATAAACTTAACACGTAACCAGCTGGATAGCTAATGCTTCGCTGCTCAAATGCGACACAGCAGCCCTCTAGACCATACGTTTTGCCCCCAGAATACCCATTAAGGAGCTTACCTGTTCATCCCTGCAGGATCATGAAGTTCTATGTGGCAAAAAAGAAGTTCAAGGAGACGCTGCGGCCGTACGACGTGAAGGACGTGATCGAGCAGTACTCCGCGGGACACCTCGACATGCTCTGCCGCATCAAGAGCCTGCAGACACGGTGAGGTGCACAGCTAGCATGCAGCAGATATGCGGCCAAGGGTGACCCTAACCCTAACCCTAACCCTAACCCTAACCTTGTTTTTGGTGGCTCCTTCCCAATGGAGTGCAAGACGTTGAGGGTTTGTACGACAGATACACTGACACACTGCACAGGAAACACACGTGCTGGTGTGATTTAAAGGAGACAAGCAGTAATCTCGTTTGGAAAGAGGTCAAAGGCCCAAAACCCAGCAAACATGTATTTCTAGATCCAGGGTTGGCTCTAACTTTTCAGGGGCCCTAGGCATTGTTTTACTTGGCAGTCCCCCCATACCAAGAAAACTGATGACCATTTCACTTCCTCCACATTGCAGGTAATTCAGAGGCCTAGACAACAGCCTATTGTGGGTATAGCTAGAGTCGGCATTGTCTGGATCCAACCAAACCTTTTCCAGAATTGATGAATCTGGGAAATGTAGACCAAAGCAACAAAGTCTTTTCTGGGTATTGTTATGAGTTTGAATGAATATCAATAGCAATTAATTAATACTGCAGAGAAATTGGACACGGCGGTTTTACAGAAGAGCAGCCAACACGCAGCAGTTGGTGGAAATGCAGCTGGTACGGATAGAGGGGCAGCGCGCTCCGATACTGCGATACTGAGACTCACACCGCAGAATCAGTCATGTGTGGAAATCCTGGCGCCAAACGGTCCCAGTATCAAGGCGCAGACATACTTGGCTGGAATATCGCCAGTATTTTAGGCAGATTTCCAGGTTCCTGGAATAATAGTTTCTAAGTAACCAACTATTAAAAATGTGAACTGAGGTGGCATTGATCTGGCCCTGTGAGTGTCACTTCTGCCTGTCACTGACTTGTCTGTGCATCTGTGTGCTCACTGACTGCTACACATACCAGCAACAGACCACATAAATCCCAGTGTCCTTGCGGCTAATCTGTACATCTGCCCTCTCTCATGCAGGCTGGACATCATTGTAGGTCCGGAGCAGACCCTGGGAAGCAAAGCCAAGACCTTTTCCTCCCCTTCTTTGCACTTGTACTACAACCAGCACAGGAGGAAGTCCTCCGCACTGGGGTCAGCCCCGCCCCCAAGCCTAGCCCAAACCCCGCCCCCAAGCCTAGCCCAAACCCTGCCCCCTCCACTTTACTTACAGAGAGGGCAGGGTCTGTGGCCTCACAACCGTATGCACCCAGGGGTCAAAAGCTCTGTAGACTGATAAGTAGTGATGGTGAATTAGAGGCATTGAAACCATAGTGAGTGGGATGATTGTGTGGTCAGTCGCTGTCTGTTTTAAACCACTTTCCACTGTTTACTATATTGGTCCCCACTGAGGTACACCAGACAGTAGCAATCCCACCTACTGTGGGATATGAAGACCTCATTTCTCCCATTACTACCCAGAATCCACCTGGAAACCTTTCCCTGTAAAACACAAGTGCAACGTTCATCTGTGTCATTTTGACAATTCCACGGCCAGAGTGGCTAATCTCTACAGTCTTTTAGAGACACTTTTGAGATCAATGGAGCTTGGCTTGAGGTCTTGGGCTATTGACTCCTGGAAGGCTTTTGATTAGCTTGTAAATGTGATCCAGAGCATTAAAAACATTTTCGGCTCGTTCGAACAGTCTCTTCTTGTTTTGACAGAGTGCTCCTTCTCTGACCATACTAAGACTGGGATGTCTGTTTCTCTTGCATGGGTTTTTTTGGGGACGTCTAGCATGTAAATTGTTGTCTGCAACTGTATAATCCTTTTCTGACTCCAGTTTTCCCTAATTTTCTGCATATCTTGAAATGAATAACCTCCTTTCTTAACCATGCTGGATCTGAACAATGGTACTATAAGACACTTCTATTTTACTTCATGAGCATTTGTTGCATAAAGTTTCTTATAAGTTCACTTTAATAAAGATAAAGAGTTGGCAGAACTTGTAGGCATTGTAATTAAATGTGATTAGTATTACTGGAGTTTAAATCCAACAGTCTGCACATGTCTATATTGTGTTTTCGCTTATAAATCTTTTTCGGAATGACATGCAGTGTGTAGTTCTGTGTGCACACTCTGGTGTGGTCTAACTCCCCTGCTTTCTGGGCTAGTCTTGACCATGGTGGACTTTTTCCTGTCTGTCTGTGGGGGTGGAGGGGGGCCTGTAACAGTGACATCTTGGATGGACGGCTGATCACTCCCCCCCCCCCACACCCCCCACCTTCTCATCCTCGTGTCTGACAGCCGTTGCCGTGTGTGTTCCAGGGTGGACCAGATTCTAGGGAAGGGCCACATTCAGGCAGACAAGCGGAGCAGGGAGAAGGTCCACTCGGAGAGCGACGCCTTCGATCACATGAGCATGCTGGGCCGGGTGTGTAAGGTGGAGCGCCAGGTGAGTCCGCTGTTTCCCCATCTCAGCTCAGGGTTCCTTTTTCAGGCCACAGCCCCCAAAATAACATCCAGTTACAATGGAATTTACAATGGTCATGTACACTGTTTTGGGAACCCCTGTATTAGGTAAACCCCCCAGGCAGGACTGCTGTAATGCACAGCCTGACCCAAGGGTGTAGGTTTGGTTTGAACAATGCAAGGGACTCAATCAGCCCCAATCCCCCTCCCCCTTAAACACACAATATTGGTAGGGACAAGTCCCAACACCATCAATAGCCAAATATACGCCCTTGGCCTGTCCAGGAACCTCTGCTAAAAAGGGGCCTCCATTAATCTTGTTTAATAAAATTTTAAACCCCCTACCCCCAGTTAGCAACTTTTACCATCACAACTTGCCCTACAGCTATGGGGTGGGGGGGAGTCTGACCATGATGATGCGCCTGGTAATGGTTATGATTCCTGCATGATTTCATGTGTTAAATCTGCTTTAATACGTGTCAGTGAAGCGCTGGCAGGTTAAAGCAGCATTTTGAAGCTAATTGAGCCATGGATTGTAGATGTGAGGAAGAATGGGAAAGAAAAATTATTTAAGTGTCTTCAAATGGACATTTTTTTCAGCAGGAAAATAGCCCACAACACGGGGCTCAGACTGCTTTGGAATCTTTGCACGACCATGACAATTAATGCAGCTTAATGTAGCCGACCTCCTTAGCCAATGGAGCTCAATCCAGCAGAGCATCTGTGGGATGAGATGGAACAAGTGCTTTGGAGTAGAGATCAACTAGTAGTCAGCTTATTGTAGTTAACAGGGGTCAGCATTCCTTTGAAATGCTTTAAAAGCCTTGTTGAGTCCAGTTCCTAAGGCATTACTCTGAGTATAAAAGCATTAAGGTGTTCCTATTGCAGTACACAATCATTACAAATCACTTAAAGAGTAAATAGTCGTGTTACTTTTTAACATACTTTATGATAATGAACAAGCATTCTACCTTGTGTTTTTCTTTTCCTTTATGAACCTCATTAACATCACATGCTTGATTGGTCTCCAGGTCCAGTCCATTGAGACCAAGCTGGACTCCCTGTTGGACATTTACCGGCAGGTTCTCCGCAAGGGTTCCTCCTCGGGGCTGCCCCTGTTCCACCTGGAGCAGACGTCCGACTACCAGAGCTCCACCCTCAGCAAGGACACCTCCTGCACCACCAGCAGCAGCACCAGCGTGCCCCGGGGGCTGCAGCTGGTTCTGCCCACGAACGAGCTCTGCCTTAACCTCAGCACCTCCCCATGTGGAGCTCTCACCTCCTCCTCCTTCAGCCCCTCTCCCCTGCCTCCCGAGAGCAGCACCACCGGCTCTCCCACACCTGTCCTTTCACCCAACAGCCTCGCTACGACTCCATTCTCCGACCTGCCCAAGCCTCGTCCTCACCACCCTTCCTCACCGTCCACTCTCCAGCTGCCTCCCCCCAATGCTCTCTCCCCCCACAGCTCATGCGCAGTGGACCCCACAGACGCAGAGGGCGACCAAGGCGGGTTGCAGCTGAGGAACAAGCCTAGTGCCAAGGAGGATGGGTCTTGGAGGAGGCACACCAGCCTGGAGATGGGCCCCTTGGTTGCGTTGTCCCCTGGCCCTGTGGACCGCAGCCTGGGGAAGTCTCTTTCGGTCCAGAACTTCCTAGGTGTGGATGTAGAATGCTGCTCCAAACCATCCTCATCCTACAGCAACAGAGACTTCAATATGAGCCCCCACAACAGCCAGGGTCTGCCCACCAGCGAGTGGGAGAAGGTGGAGCTGATCATCAGCGACCAGGACGTGAACATGCTCGGGGAGAGCTCGGACTTCCTGGCACAAAGGACCACGGATTCCGCCTCCCCACCTGAGCCACTGGGGGTCAAAAAAACACCTTCGGCTCTGGGCCTGGCTGTCGACACCCACAGCATTTCCCACGTGCGGCTAAAATAGAGTCACCATAGCAGTTTGCATTTTTTAATGCCGGGGGGGGGGTGCTTTTCTCTTTCCGTTTTGCTCTGAGATAGTTTAAAAATCCCTGTAATTCATTAATTATTGACCACCCACCACTGCATGGACTAATCCTTCCTCTAGGGGGCAACGAAGGGACAGACCCGAGACACCTGACAGGAGCTGGGGCGTCAGCCCTGCATGAGCACTGCATGTTTACAGCTCGGCGGCGCATTGCATCACTTACCAGCCTGTTCAGCTTGTTTCCTGACACTGGGTCCCCAGCTTTGCATGAGTCTAAGGAATGACATAATGCATCAGGGGCAGGTCACGGCTCGACTGTGGAAACTAGGCTGTAAGACACTGCTTATCTCCTTTTCACCACCAGGAGGAGCTATAGCTCCTTCCCATTTGCCCCCCCCCCCCCCAGCTTAATTAAATTCTAATTAAGTTCTTAATTATGTCTTAATGCATTGGTTGGCAGTTATATGCTGGAAATGAGTAGAAGGAAAGGTAGCCCAGCAGGATGGTGCAGGGGTGGGGTCACAGAGGTAACGGCCCCAGATGAAAGCTGATTGGCCCCCAGAGTGACCACTCCCCTGTCACTCAATGATTCAAAACATATCATTGGCTAATGATCATGTTGGCTCCCACCCTAAAAAATCCTAGAATTTCCCCAGGGATTATGTTATATAGAGGAAAATGTCTTCAGTGGCATGTTCTAGATCCAGTAGAAGTGAGCACCAGGAGGGTTACTGTCACGTTCAATTCTACATTTTTTCTTGGTCTGGAATCGCCCATCAGTCACATGTGTTGTCAGTTGTCATCGACTCTATGGGTTGCACCGAGTGACATGGCAGACATAGGGTGCAATTTGCTGGATTCCCAGGGCAGAACCACAGCAGGTATCACCACTGGATGGAAGAAGGAAATGAACACAGCTCCAAACACTGGCTGCCAGATTCTGTGGCCTCTGGGCCTTGCTGACTGGGGAGCCGCTGGAGAGGCCCAACTTTTTATTTTGTTTGTTTTTTTACCCAAACCAATCCTTTAAATTGCTTGCTCATTACAACCATTATGATATTTTAGATTATTGATAAATTATAACGTGCATTTAAAGATTCAAGCTTTTGCACGGCATCTAGGTAAAACTGCATTATGGGGATTTTGGAGAATATAAGCATGAAATCCATGAGGTGAATGGTGAGGAATATGCGGTGGAAATGAAAATCACCTTATGCAGGAAATAGTCGAACACTCCTGTACAAAAATAGCCGAAGTTCCAAAGCGAGCTATAAGGAAATGAGCCAAGATCACAGAGTGAATTTAAGACCCCCATCCTAGGATTGATATTCTCTGTGTGGGTCTGTAGACATTTTCCCACAGCCTTGAGACGCCCAGGGCTGTTACTACTGGGCAAATGGTTCATACATAAACACTGCTAAGGAGCAATCGAGTCACAGAACATAACTGGCACCGTCTCACTGGGAAGGGAACGGACCAGAACATCACGGGTAACAGCCTCATTAGTGCCTCCTAGGGATATATCGGGCAACTGTCGTCATCGGCCTGTGGTGAGCGATGTGCCACGTGACTGACCATTGCTTGATAGGTTATTGAAGGGGCACATGTTCCGATGACCTCAAAATTGTTTGCATGCACAAAGGGTATGGGAGCGATCCAGACAGTGACCTACAAGAGACAATTGGAGATGATTAATGACAGCTGAAAATAGTGGAGAACACGAGAACATGTGAGAATGCGTGATCAGAAGGCTGTCGCTTCCAAAAGCACACATCCTATTGAATGTAGTTTCATTATTTATTTGTTCCCACAATTCACATAAAAAATGGTACAGTACATGAGCCAGAAACGTCACACTTGTTCCCAAAAAACAGCTATAGGAATATAAACGATTGTTTTGTATTATTTATTACATCTTTTTTGTTAATAACAAAACACTGTAGTCTTAAATGTTTTTTAACTGAACTGGGCTGAGTTAGATTCCATAATTTACTGCTGACATGAATCTTTTTTGTAGATGATGCATTCTGATATTGGAATATTTGCTGTATGATCTCCTAATACAGTATGTGTGACACAGTTCTGCGTGCTGTCAAAGCCAACGGCTGTAAGTTAACCCCTCAAAGTGAGAGAAACTGACGCGGTACCTGGAAGCACAATTATTGATTTGGAGCGACCTGCGGGCAAGCGGTCATTGACCTTAATAATACACCATGGCGGTAAAAAGGAATGTACCTGTACAGTATATGGCCATATACTCAGCGCAGTCAACTCCAAGGAATAAAAATCAGCAGATAGATCATGGAATCCTTTAAAGGGATATATTGCTTTAAGGCTTTGCCTGCCAATTAAAATTATAAAAGTATACAAACTATATACAGTTTATACTTTTTTATTTTTCCCGTTTTTGTAGTAAATGCTTGAAGGTGCCTTTCATGCAAAATATTAACAGTATGTTATTTTTTTCCACGGCTATGTGCTAGCTTTAAATTATGGGGATAGTTTTGTAGGTTCCTAATGTTATGTATACTTTTAGAAAATCTAAAATCTTCTAAATAACAATCAACATGTTTTTTTCACATGTACAATAATTTATTTCACAAAATTGGCTTTAATGGGAATGGGAACTTTTTACTTTTTTGTTTAATGTAATTTATTTTAAGGAGGTACGGGCACGTACAAGGTACATTGAGTATGTGATATTGTCATTAATTTTCGCCATGATACTTTAATAAATCGAAAAATTTAAACAGAATGTGTACATGATGTTATTTATTAATCTAGCGTCGATTTTCTGTAGGTCTGTTTTAAGTATTTAAGCTAAATATAGTAAATACGGATTTCACTTTCCTTAGACACAGACGATATAATTTCGGATGTTGGTATAAACATTTGCATTGCATATGCAAATATACTAATCATATATCATTTGGCCGTTACTGTTAACTGGATGCAAAATGTTCGTTCATTAAAAAAATAAATAAATAAACTCTGAGAAGATACCACGCCTCGCCTTCTGGGGAAGGCTTCCTTAAATCATAATTGATCATTTACTTGGGTTTGTCACTCCAGGATCTGAGTCAAACGTAGATTTGAGACGCGCGTGCGGAAGGCGTTGAAAACTAAATAGTTTTAACTAAATAGTTTAAAAAACTAAATTAAAAAATTATTTAAACTGAAATTTAACTAAACGCAAGCCAAATACAAATTAAGTATATGTACAGTTCCTCTAAGCGGCTTCGCCTGTGTCAATATACAGACAATTAAAGGCGCCTTTACACAGCATGCGCATGCGCAACTCAAATCCACGTTCGACAGATTCTGTAGTGACCGGGGTAACTTCAGCCAGAAGTCATGATTGTTCAGTAGGAATGTTCCTTACCCAAACCCTTATTGAACGATCATTACTTCTAGCTTAAGATAACCCAGCTAACTGAGAAATCCAGCTTCGTGGTACTCCCCCGCGAAGTAATTACAGAGAGAAAAAACAGAGAGACTTGCAATGTATAAAAAGGCGTAAATCCCGGGGGGGCAGGGGGTCAGGACCCACCCCCCTTCATGAGAGTTGCCCCCCAATGTTTTATTTTAAACCTGTGTCATTTTAAATTTTAAAGTAATAATATGCACTGAAAGCACTTTGTGCAAATTATAAATGCAAAACAATGCATTGCGAAAAAAATCGCCGAAACCTCACACTGGTTTGGTCCAATACCTGCTATATCCTCGATCCCGTAGCGCAAGTGTACAAGTGCTATCACACAGTGCGAGTGTCCCTGGTTCAGTGGTGGATGAAAGTCACGTAGGTGGATTACTTACCACCAATAAGTAGCTGCTTTGTAACTATTCACTTAAAACAGCGGATGTGTCAAACATGTTTTTTACTTCTGCTACTCAGTAGAATAGCACATATTTGCAGATTTGTATCTAAATTCTTGCGTACTTTGTCATTGGAAACAAAACTTAGCAAGCATTGCAGTTTTAATGATTATTCCTTTTCAAGATTATCAAAGTAGGCCTATGTATTTTATAAATCAGTTTAAAATTTAATTTTGCGTGAGCTCTACATGTGCTTTCCGATTGTTTTCATCCATTTAACAAAATCACATCGTGGTATTTAAATTTTTCAAATATCGTGTAGCCCTAATATATTATGGCATTTTTTTTTGTTCTATTTCTGGTCATGCCATCCAGATCATCTTCTGGTTCTTCCCATCGGATCGCAGTTAAAGCTTGGGTCTCTAAGTTTCTTCATTTGTCCACGCATAGCCTATATTAGTTACTTTGTTTTTTTTCTTTCGTTCATCGTTGATTTCTGTGGTCGTGACTTTTTTCAATACGGAGGTTGTATCATGTTTCAGAGGCAGGTCATTTGCATAACCAACCGAAAAACGTTTGCAAGTCCCACTCCAAAATACCGAAGAACCAAAAAAGTACCCAGTTGGTTTGGTACTTTAGCTACTGGAACTTTTGGTATTGGCACTCCACTGGAAGTTAATGAAAAGTACCAAGAGTACTATACTAGTACGTGGTGCATTGGAAAAGCGCCCTTAGATGGGGGTATTCGCTGAATAGTTTCTTCTGCTTTATCTTGTTGTAAAGCCACTGAAGTTGATTCAGAGGTTAATCCAGTAATGCGCATGTAATGACTTTATAATGTAGACATGGTAACCTTCTTTACCAATCAACTATCTAATATATATAATAAGGGTTTTCTCTATGTTTAATACAAGTATAACAACACTTTTTGGCATATTTTGTGGCCCCTTCAAGAATTACTTTTTCTGTTTATTGTCCCAATCCAACAGTGACATTAATTATAAGTTTATCAGATTTATTGTTACATATGACATTCCCATTAATACGAATAGCATTTAACATATCGCAAGTACAACCGAAGTTCCGAATTTTCGCGTTGCTACCGCGAGTTGAAGGGGGCGGAGTCGGTAAGACCTTGGTTCGGTGGGTCATGTGACGTAAATGGCGTGCTGGCGCGCGGAGTAGCTTCGCGCGGGGTTACCGATACGCTCGTGCCGAAAGGGAAGTCGGTATGTCGGATTGGGAAGAGGATTGCGACGAAGCGGCTCTGAAACCTACGACCGAAGTTAAAGCCCAGCATAAAGGATGGCGGTCTCACAAGACGGAACAGATTTCCAACTTTAATTTTACGCAGAAAAAACAGTGGGGCCCATCAGAACGACGGCGGGGACACGATGGGCGAGATCCGCAGCAGCAGAACTTGGGGGGCGGGAGTGGCCATTTGGACACTGAAGGAAAGCGGTTTTCCAGGAGGGAAAACGAATGGAGTCCAAGTGGGCGAGGAGACGCCAGTGGAGGCCGCGGGTTACTGGCGTCGGCGCCGCTGTGCTTTTCAGTGGATAGTTCTGCATTTAGTTCTATTATAGGTAATCAGCTATCGAAATGTCCCTTCAAAGCCGTCACTTCGCCACGCAGTATTAACGCACACAATCGTGATTGCCACGATCATCGCAAACCTTACTTTGTCTGAATCACACAGGTCGCGGAGGTGCTAAAGTTCGTGAACTTGAGGAGGAGAGTGGAGCAAAGATAAAGGCAAGTTGCAGCATTAAGTATGATCGGGGAAGCGGCAGATTATGTTGCAGTCGGCCGATGCTACGCGAAAACTGCATGGACATGCATGTATTTTTTTCCGCCCAGGTCATTCGGGGCCGTTATGAAGGGGAGGTTCAAGTATTTGGTAGCAGGGATGTGCAACAAAAAGCCAGGGAAATGATCGCAGCTTTGATTTCTCCGGCCGTTGGTGATCCCGGTAGGTAATCGGACATTTGTGGGGGACCCCCCCCCCCCGTTTTGTGGACATGTCTCATTCGAAATCGGTCCGGTCTCAGGGTCCACAGACGCTGGCACTGAGACCTGCTGGTCCGCCTCGGCTGCCCAGGGCCCGTCAGATTTCGCCCCGCCGCCGATTGACTGGATGTCCATCCGCGAAAAACGGCATGAGTATGCGGCTTTGAAGTGGAAGGGTGAGAATGATATGGCCATCAACACTTCGAAATTAAACCGCTTACAACATACCAGAGGTGGATAGTTCAGGTGCAGAAAGTAAAAATCCAGGCCAAGATTTTGTTTCAACCAGGCAGTTTAGTATGAGGAGTCACAGTCACTTAATATTCAACTGGTTGGTTGAAACAAAATCTTGGCCTGGATTTTTACATTATGCACCTCTGCTTTTCACCTCTGCAACATACCAATACATATAAAACCCTATCATTCATCTTTTCTGTAGCTTGCTTATTAATTAATAACCATTTTCTCAGGATTTTAACATGGGCATCACAAGTTTTGGAAGTCTTGTTTCAACAAATACTCTTATGTGGGTGTAACATGTCAGGGTTCAGTTCGATAATGTTTTCCTAAACATGTTAAATAGTTTTCTTTTTATATATGTTGTCCGTGTGTGTGTTGGTCTCTGAGTTTGTATTGAAGGTGAGTAAGCTTAATATAATGTTACCGTTTCTCGGTGTATAATTGTCAGGAAAAAAATTATGTCCAGCGCAAATGTAACTTGTGATTTATGGAACACTTGCAGGTTCATGGGTTATAGTTTCTTGTGCTATAAATTGTACCTTCCTTGTTCAAAGACATGGCGCATGTGGTGCTACAGTAGCCTTAAAGGGTGTCACATTGGCCTTGGAGTGTGCTCTGTGCGTGTGTGCACGGGCCCGCGATTTGCAGTGGGCCCGTGCACTCTGGGTATACTCCCGTGCACTCTGGGTATACTCCGGGTCTCACTGTACTTTCCTTATCGCACCAACTGGTTTCTCGAGTGGATAAGCAGTTACCTACCGAGCATCGATGAACAATTGGAAGATGGTTTGGAAAACACGATGCTTTCAGTTATTTTAATCAAGAGCTTGTCTGGAAGGAAATGTGCAAGGTCTGTCTTTGGCATAAATTTGCTCTTTGGGGATGTTTCCGTTCTGCTTTCAGATCTCCCGCCACTCAAGAAGGAGTTTTACATTGAGGCGGAGAGTGTGGCTGTGCGCAGTGCTGAGGAGGTGCAGGCCTGGAGGTAAGGATGGTGCATCAGCGGTCCAGGGCCCTGGGTTCGAGGAGCCCTGAATAGGAAGTGGAGAAGCTTAGCAGATCTGGTCAGAGAGATTAAGTATCGTCACGTAATGTGTGTTGAGCAATTTGCACTGGGCTGCACCTGCTGAAGAGATTACCATGTCAGAGAGTCTAAAGCTGGGCACCTGTGAACCCCCCCTCCCTCCCCCAGCAGTTTTTTGCTCTGTTTTATTGTAGGCTGTAGTATTGCCTGTCTGTTGGAAGCTTTAAGTTCTTATTGTGTCCAGTGGGTGTCACTGTTGCCCTTTATTTTGTAGTATACCATCATTAGTGTGTATAGATATGTCAGCTTGCTTATGGGCCCAGGGCCACTGGATGCAAATCAATTTGGGTGTATCTTGATAATTATATGGAAGAGGGAAGACATTAAGTGCAGTACTGTAATATACACACGGCACTCGAATGGCAAATAATAGCAAAGTGTTAAATATAAAATCACAGCACTTTATAATAGAGATTGCACTTAAATTTCACACAAATAAGGCATGAATTGCATCATGAAATCAATAGTGCGTAATAGAAAGGAATGGGACTGAGAAGGAAGACGGCGCCTGATGCCGCGGCAGAATATTTTTTTTCAGTACGGTTTCTTTTTATGTAAGGAACTGGCACAGTGCAGGTGCTGTATCTGCTTATTGTAGCTGTCATCACATATGCATTATGCTGTGCGTGCAGAGTTAGATACGGACACTGGGTTCTTGTGCACCTAGCCTTGCTGCCCATTCTCCTGCGCTTGTTACACTAAGCAATACAACCACTAACATCCTGCTATGTTCAGTGATATAAGTAATTATCAATGACTTCAGTTATAATGTGGTTATCTGTGTTTACGTTATGCGTGTATGTTCAGAGCATTTTATATTGATTACCTGATGTGAAATCTCTCTGACAGTTCCTCTGGCTAACTTCAGTTTTTTCCTTTTATCAGTAGCTACAGGGTAGGATATTTCCAAGCTGTTTTATTATGCAGGTGTTTTGAAAGCTGGTGGTGGTAAACTTTGAGTAGTGGTAACTTTAAGAGTAGATGACTTGCTTCATTTAACGGCTCAGCTCTATGCTGGATACATCAAGGCTGAATTTACCACACTGCCCCCTGCAGGAAGGAGAACAACAATATCTTTGTGGATGATTTGAAGGAGGACGACAGGCGGGTTGTACCCAATCCGGTTTGTACCTTTGAAGAGGCCTTCCAGGCCTATCCTGGCATCATGGAGAACATTGTTCGAGTGGGCTTTGTTAAGCCCACACCGATCCAGGTATCTCATTCATTTTCCAACTGCTTATTCTGCGCAGGGTTTTTCCAGTGTGAAAAGGCAGTATATGTGAGACATATCCTTGCCCACATTCAGTGCCTGCATTTTGGTGATATGCTGGAGAGCCTCCTCCCATATCGGTACCCAGTACATCAAGACTTTGGGAGCTCAATCATGCAGTTGTTTCTCAACCATGAGCCCTGGCCGTCATTCGCATTGTCAAGCAGGACCTGCTGTATTGTTAGACCTATCCAGGACTTGGCCATTGCTAAAATATCATGATGAGAGATAAAGAGAATGCAGGTCACTGTGGTGGAAAAACACTCAGGCGCTTTATTACCTGCAATGTTCTTAGGGCAGAAGGAACAATGATTGGTTCAGAGAGACAACGAATTACAACTAAAAGAGGCAGGACCAAAACATCTGATTGGTTGGTCCCACTTCCTTTGCAATCTCTTAAATTTTTGTGCAATTAGAACTCCCATTATTATTGCAGAGCAGCTTCATAGTACAATTGGCTTCTTGTTTAGGTGAATACAGCTCAGAAACAGTCAGTTACTCAATCTTAAACTCTGCTTGTTGAATCGTTCTAGAAAAATCCTGTTTCTTAACCGCCTTTATGTCTCCCCCAGAAAAAACATGCAAAAATGTTACATTTTTTGCAAGAAAAATGTAACAGTGTAACAAAAACATCTTAATATCAAAACATCAGCATAATTACTGTAGGAATGGTATGTATACTGTCCACTGCTGTACTGATGCAGATTCAGTACACCTCTCTTCTGTGATCTGTTTTGAAACATTGCCATTGGGCCAGTAGAAGCATGTTTCTTTGTGCAGTTTAAAAATAAAAACATTTATCCACTAGATGGCAGCAGAGTCCTGTCCTGGGTCTTATTCGTGCTTAACTCTGTATACAGGGTCAAATCAGGTTGCCAGATTTACATAAAACTCCAAGTCATAGTCATCGTTAATGCCAGGAAGCTTAAGATAGTGACATGTTCGTACCCTGGCTGCCTGAATGTAGTATGGGCTGAAGGATAGACACTTGAGTGTGGATCATCCCCGTCTGCCACGGGATCAAGTCGCTCGATTGGTTTACAAGTTGAACATCCAAAAACCACTGGGCTAGGGATTCAATGAAGCAGCCAGTCTGGGATATTTGTGATGTTCCTTATCATATGACAGTGACTCAGTCATCGAGGGCTGTTACATTCAGACTTGTTTGATGTTGTTTCTATGGTGACACGCCTGTCCTGTGTTCCAGTCGCAGGCCTGGCCCATTGTGCTGAAGGGCTTTGACCTGATCGGAATAGCCCAAACCGGCACAGGGAAGACCTTGGCTTACCTCTTGCCAGGCTTCATCCACATGGACCAGCAGCCTGTGTAGGGTTTGAGTATTTGTTTTCTGGAAGTGATTTCCCAGTTTGGTTTGGGATGGGCTGGGGCGTAATCTCGAATATGACAGATTCCTTGCGTCTGTGTGTTTTTAGGCCCAGAGAGCAGCAGGATGGACCCGGCATGCTGGTACTGACCCCGACCCGAGAGCTTGCCCTGCAGATCGAGCAGGAATGCAAGAAATACAGCTACAAGGGCTTCAAGAGGTGCCAGCTCAGCCACTAACCCCGTCCTCGCACTCTCCCCGCTTCCCACTAGCATTCCACTGTCTCCCTGCTCTGTTGCTCCCCCTTGTTAAGTGTCTGCATTTATGGAGGAGGGGACCGCAAGGCCCAGATCGGTGTGGTGACCCGTGGCGTGGACATCGTCATCGCCACGCCAGGCAGGCTGAATGACCTGCAGATGAACAGTTACCTGAACCTGCGCTCCATCACCTACCTGGTGAGCAGGTGGGGGTGGGGGGATTGGGTAGGCCTCACAAAAAAGACCGACCCTATGTCTGCTTTTTGCAGGTCTTGGATGAGGCCGATCGTATGCTGGACATGGGTTTTGAGCCACAGATTATGAAGATTATATTGGACATCCGGCCTGACAGACAGACGATCATGACTAGGTCGTTACCATAGCAACTATACTGAAATTATACTGAACTATCTCTGAGCCGTTACCATGGAATACGGAGCTATCCCTGACATTCCTTGCACTGGTTATTGTCGTCTCTCTATTCTTACCATTTATTAGTGTCTTTTTATTAGTCTTTCCACTGTGTCAATGTGTGTATTCAGCACATGTACATCTGCAGTTTTCTTCGAGGTTAAAAACTTCGTCAGTCTGCTTATTGAAATGCCTCATGATACCTGCCTACTAGTGTTTTTCATGTTCTTTTTTGCATCTCCTTGGTTATTTATAAATAGTAACTCCAATTTTCTCCTCTCTTGCCTCCCTGTGGCACAAGTGCCACATGGCCAGCGGGTGTGAGGCGATTGGCTAAGTCCTATCTGAAGGATCCAATGATGGTGTACGTGGGGACGCTGGACTTGGCGGTGAGTGACTTCCTATTGGTGGGGACATGCCGTGCGTTACTTCCCGAAGCTCCGCCTTCTCACCTGCCCTCCCCACCACCGTCTCTCTGTCTCCAAGGCCGTGAACACCGTACAGCAGTCGGTAATAATCGTCCCGGAGGAGGAGAAAAAGAGTTACCTTTTTGATTTCATCCGTAACCTGGAGCCTGAAGATAAAGCACTGGTATTCGTAGGGAAAAAGTTAATGTGAGTTTTGGGCCACAAATGCATCCTAACGAACAGGATATAAAAACATTATGCCCATGTAATAAACTAGTTTGTCATTTTAATGGTTGGTCTGCTTTCTGATATCAACCGGGAATTTTTGAGAAAAAAAAACTCAAAATTGACTTTTTATTCTGTTGTTTAATGTCTCTGCACAGCAATAGGTAATACCCGACTTAAAAACAGTATACATTTTGCTAAAGCTGACTAGTTTAAGGTGAAAAATGAGTTTGAGGGTGTTGAAGTTGTACGAGATGCAAGCATGTTTGAAATGTTTCAAAATGAAACCTGTTACTTCGTAGCGGAGTTTGCTGGAAGCTTTTTCTCTGATTTTACCTGTATTGCTGTGGCTGGAGCCCAAGTCATGCTGCCTGCGCTCTGTCACTAACCTCCTTCCTTTCCATTTCCAGTGCGGATGACCTGTCCAGTGACCTCTGTCTACACGGCATAAAGGTTCAGTCACTGCATGGAAACAGGGAGCAGTGTGACCGTGAGGATGCACTGCAGGACTTTAAAGAGGGTACTTTCTTATCGAAGCTTTCCCCCATTGGAAGGTGGGCGGTTTTTGTGCAGTGTCTGTCTGTACCTGTAGGCCGTGTGCGGATCCTCGTGGCCACCGACCTGGCCTCCCGGGGCTTGGACGTGCATGACATCACGCACGTCTTCAACTACGACTTTCCACGTAACATCGAGGAGTATGTTCACCGTGTTGGCCGTACCGGAAGAGCAGGGTGAGTAGGCACTGTGATGTTATACACTTACAAAGACAAAACACAGCGAATACGCTGAGACTGAGACTGAGAAAAAGGGCTTCAGCATTAGGGCTGGGTTTTAAAAAAAAAAAATTTCCTGATTCAAGTCTTCATTTGCATAATCTGATATCAATTCATAGTCTTAAAATCATGAAATATATGCCTTTAGACATTACGACATTTTGTCTCAAGATAAGAACCTAAGAGACCTTATTTTGGTCGTAAGTTTTATCTGCAATTATTTTGCTTTGCCTTTGTGTGGCAGCATTTTCCAGGACTCTACATTTCTGAGAATTAAACCGATTCAGTCTAGACCACTGAGTTGTCTCTTGCCTGGTTGCACCTGACTCACAACACTTGACTCTCAGGACTGGTGGGGAAAAAGAACTCCAAAGCTGGGCATTCTGGGGCATGTAGTTTTGTTGCATGGATTCTAACTGGTGGTACTTCTCATTTGGCTGGACAGACGATCCGGGGCATCCGTGACATTAGTGACAAGAGGAGACTGGAAGTTGGCTTCCGAACTGATTCACATCCTGGAGCGAGCCGGACAGGTGGGGGCACTCAAGAACTTGACACAGTATTGCATCATGCGTAACTCTCACGTCAACAGTAGCATTGGCAGCTTTATTCTCTTGCTCCTGCGTAGTCGTAAATTTTCCGCTAAGCAGCCTTGTCTGTGACAGGCTGTTCCCGAGGAGCTGCTGCTGATGGCCGAGCGCTACGAGAAGCACGAGAGGGAACGCGAGATGGGTGTGCCAACGCGGCGAGGAGGAAGAGGCGGGAGAAGCAGAGGCCGGGCTGGGGGAGGAGCAAATAAAATGTGGCACGGGAATAGAGACAAGAATAGGGACGATTCCACCTGGAGCTTCTAATCTGTCCGACTTGATTGACAGGTATGTGCACTGAATAATATCTGGCATTTGGCAGCCTGTTCCACCAAGAAGTTTAATTTGGCCATATTCAAACACTTTGCGTCGCAGGACACGACGAGCGTTTAGCGTAAGATCTTTAATGCATTTTCTTTTGGTTCATATTAGGTTTCAGTCCTGTACGGTATCTGCGCGCTTATGGGCTCAGATCCTTGTGCTGACATCCTCCGCTTCACGCAGAAAGAAGGTCATCTTATTAACGTTCTCATGTATTTATTTTTGTTTGACCAGCACGTCTGCAAAAAAGTTAATGGTCTACAACTGTGTTTAAAAATTGCCCATGATGTGGAATTTAGTTTGAGGGGCTAAATGTGGTGAATATTTTCAGAATCCAGAGTTGATGAGGGACCAAAAAATAAATAAATAAAATAAACAATGTTTTATGCATGATTTCTATAGACAGTGCAGTTGCTCACTGGGTGGTACCGTGGCCTCATGCTACCAGGGTTCTGTGCTCAGTGTGTGTGGAGTTTGTACTGAAACCCACACAAACATGAGAATATGCAGAGTCACGTGGTTTGGTGAACTTTAGATTAGTGTGTGATCGTGTGGATGTATGTACTTCTCTGCCCTGCGATGGACTGGCATCTAATCAGCTCCTGGTTCACTGTGACTGTGTGTAAGCAATTTTTTTTGGCTTCATTTTTCTTTTTGATATTCTTGGGCTAAGCCTTATTAAATCAGCCAGCTTGCTTAAGGTACAAAATGTTGTATGGAAAAAAAAGTAGTTATGTTACAAGCTAAGAGTTGCATCCACTAGAACCGTGATTCTCAACCCAGTCCTTCGGTGGGGGGGACAGGTCACATTTTTGCTCCCTCCCTGCACACCTGTACTATGGAGTTTTGTGTTGATTGTACTTGATGGTTTGGTTCAGGTGTGCTGGGAGGGAGCAATAATTTGGACTGACTGGGGTTCCTCGAGGACTGGAATGAGCACAACTGCAACAAAATGCCTTGTGACTACCACTACCATGTAGAACCACCTTTGTAAAAAGAGTCGGACACATCGCAGTTGAGACACCTTTAATGCAATGTAGGGAGGCTTTTGCCCACAAATAACAGTAAGGTGCAAGGAGCTTGAACCCAATGGAAGTCCATGATTCCAGGAGCGATGAGCCAGTGAAAGCAGGTCAGGGGTCAAGGGGTAGAAGATCAACGATAAAGTGCACAGGGAGTCTGCATGCGCCCAGAGCGAGACACACTGGGGGAGTAGGGCTTTAAAGCTAAAACAAGGCGTCTTAACCTACAGAAAGTTTTACCACTGCGAGTGAACACCCGGCCACTGCAAACACGCTAAGAAGCAGGACGATGGCATGACTTGACTAAAACTGCACTCCAGAAGGGAGCAGCGAGAAGGCTTTGGGTTCGACTCCTCTCTAGGATGTCAATGTCTCACACGTGGTGCTTATGTTCATGGTCTCGTTTTAAAAGCACGTTTTTAAAAATTAACAATGTTATCACATCAATAAATTAAAGTGCCAAGGCGTGGATTATAATTGATAGTCAACACAATGTGCATCGTTAATAATTTGTATGGTTTTTCCTTCGGAAACTTTTGCGGTGCATCGTGACGATTAACCAGTCTTTGACGATGGAGCTTAAGCGGCCGATGGGGTAGAAGTGCTTGGAGACCATCTTTCTACCACGGGGGACTCTGGAGTCGACAGCCCAGCACAACGTTCATTTCGCCTTCTGAGCCTTCTGGGCGGACTTTGTGATCTTGCCGGTGGTGGCGGCCTTCTTCTCCACGCCCTTGATCACCCCCACGGCCACGGTCTGGCGCATGTCACGCACGGCAAAACGCCCTGGATGGAAGACGGGAGGAATGCTTAAGTATTTTGAAGAGTACGAGGCAGTATTAGCCAATTTGCGTGGAAAGGAGAACTGTCTAAAGACAGACACTGAAACCTAATCTCAGGACACATGATCTGCATGACCCTTACATGACCTCCTGTAATGGACACCACTGGGGGGTGTTGCTGGTATATGGGCTGAATAGGTAGACAAATGGCAACCTATTTCTATTAACCTTATTTGCTACTCTCAAAGAAAATACGAAAGCTACTTGGACAGATGGGATAAAAAAGGACGCTGGTCTTGACTAGGGTTGTAAAGGGGCGGTAACTTTCCAGAAACTTCCTTTTCCATGGGAAGTTAAGCTAGGGATTATTGGAAGTATTCCAAACTTTCCATGGGACCTACTGAACTACTATAAGGGAATTAATGGAAAATTCCTAGAAATTTTGCAGCCCTATTATTGATGCACTCAGGCCAAGCCATCCTCCTCCAAGGTGGTCCACTTACCCAGGGGTGGGTAGTCCGAGAAGCTTTCCACACACATGGGCTTCCCGGGGATCATGTCTACAATGGCAGCATCTCCCGACTTGAGTGACTTGGGATTGTCCTCCAGCTTCTTCCCAGAGCGCCGGTCGATCTTCTCCTTCAGTTCTGCGAACTTGCAGGCGATGTGGGCCGTGTGGCAGTCCAGAACCGGGGCATAGCCGGCGCTGATCTGGCCAGGGTGGTTTAGGATGATCACCTGGGATGAAAGAAATGGGTCACTAACATCATCGCCGGATAATCAGAGAGCACCGGCCCGAACATCAAGGTCATCCACAGCACCGTCATTCCCGGATGGTAATTTCATTCCACCACGAAATCCTCTCAGTTGTTTACTGACACAAACCACCTGATCGCTGCCTTCTTAAAGTACTAAATATTAAATTTCACAAACAAATGTGTAAAACGTAATGCATTTACATTTGCTCTGGATAACACCATCTACTAGGGAAAAATACAAATTATCAACACACTAAAATGTTCCATTTTCTCTGCTTCAATTTTCATTTCATCTACGATTTCCTGCTTTTTTTTGACAGGACCACTTCTGAATTGAAATATTAGAATCTTAGGAACTTAGGTGCAGTCATGTCATGAGAAACAATCCCTGAGTCACTGGGAAACGCGTTCAGGTTTAATTCATTATGAATGAATTTAATCATGGGGTAAGAACAACAGGCATTGAGTAATGGATCAATTGAAGTAACTTACTGTGACTGGTAACTGATGTATTCATTTAGGGGGCTCATATATTTAATGTGCTTAGAGATCTTAGCTTATCTGCTATTTGTATATTGGTATAACAAATTTTGACATGCCTGATGTGCATAAGTCCTAAGATCACACAGTGTTTTAATGGGATTTGTGGGTTGCTATTCATTAACAGCTCAAGTGAACGTGAAAGCGTAACTGGTTAACGAAGAGCTCATCCGGAAATAAAACTAGCATTTACTGTGACTCAAATTGAGTTTCACTCCCCCTGACCTATTGCTCAATTGGCCATTAGACAAGCACATTCAAAGAAGCATATTAAATTAATTATGAAGGGTGCATTACCATATCCTGAAGCTTATAATTAGTTCAAGATGAGGCTTTCAAAATGCAAGCACCAGAATGAACCTGTTCTTAGTTCCAGCCTATTTAGAGGAGAAAGTCCTCCTAGCTCTCCACTTACCTGGGCGGTGAAGTTTGCAGCCTCCTGGGGGGGATCATTCTTACTGTCCCCAGCCACGTTGCCCCGGCGGATATCCTTGACGGACACATTCTTGACATTGAATCCAACGTTGTCTCCAGGCAATGCCTCGGACAACGCCTCGTGGTGCATTTCCACCGATTTCACCTCGGTTGTCACATTGACAGGTGCGAAGGTCACTACCATGCCCGGCTTCAGCATTCCCGTCTCCACACGGCCCACTGGCACAGTCCCGATCCCTGAGAAGCGGCACAGAACCAGATCCACTTCATTGCCCCGAGCAGATTCTGCGAAGCCTTCGCCTCTCACAGACATCCCACAATGCCAAGGGGCCAGCAAGTTTGTGGAACAGAGGCACTTCTGTTTTACACATGCTTACTGAATCGTGAAACAACTCGACCCAAACCAGATCATTACTCATTCAGATGTGACAGAGCCCAGGCTTTTGGTGCTGGAACACTGGACCTCAACGTTTACCCTGTCCATCGATGAGAAGCACAGCACCCTAGGATACGCAAGTAAATCTCACCCCCAATCTTGTAGACGTCCTGCAGAGGCAAACGAAGGGGCTTGTCTGTAGGGCGAGATGGAGGTTGGATGGCATCCAGGGCCTCGAGTAAGGTGGTCCCCGATACACTACCATCTTTCCGGGTGATTTTCCAACCCTTGAACCAAGTCATCTGAAAAACAAATTTCAGTGTGCCGAATGCAGCATGGGTAGGGCATGGGTGAAGACCAAAGCTGTTGTCATGCCACGCTGCTTACATTAGGGCTGGCCTCTAACATGTTGTCCCCATTCCAGCCAGAGATGGGGACGAAGGCTACCGTCTCTGGGTTGTAGCCAATCTTCTTGATGTAGGTGCTGACTTCCTTGACGATCTCTTCATAGCGCTTCTGGCTGTAGTTTGGCTCGGTGGAGTCCATCTTGTTGACGCCCACAATCAGCTGCTTGACGCCCAGCGTGTACGCTAGTAAGGCGTGCTCCCGGGTCTGCCCATTCTTGGAGATGCCGGCCTCAAACTCCCCCACCCCTGCAGCCACGATCAGGACTGCACAGTCTGCCTGATGGTTTCGGGAACATAGCGCATGTCAGTGCTCGAAGGAAAATTAAATACTTTAGGCAAAATGACTAATCGATTACACGTTCATGTTGATTTTTTTTTTATTATTCCTCTGCATGGAGCCATCTGCTTTTTCCTATTAAAAGTATCCAATATCACTGTCTGCACACCATATGGCATGTTCTAGTCACCAATATTCGTATTCTATTCTATCAGATAAACCATAGTCAGACTATGTTAGTGGCCCTGAATAAACACGCAGTCCAGCACACACCTGGGAGGTTCCTGTGATCATATTCTTGATGAAGTCTCTGTGCCCAGGGGCATCGATGATGGTGACATAGTACTTGCTGGTCTCAAACTTCCAGAGGGAGATATCGATGGTGATACCACGTTCACGCTCTGCCTTTAATTTATCCAGAACCCAGGCATACTTGAAGGATCCCTTGCCCATCTGGGGGAAAAAGTAACCAATGTCGGCCATTCTAGAACCAGAAGGTAATTTTCTGCATTGCTGTGCTATGTTTGGGGAAATTTGTCATCGTGTTGTAAATCTGCCTGGCTATGGTACACAAACCTCAGCAGCCTCCTTCTCGAACTTTTCGATGGTCCTCTTGTCGATGCCACCACACTTGTAGATGAGGTGCCCGGTGGTGGTGGACTTGCCAGAGTCGACATGTCCAATCACCACGATGTTAATGTGAAGCTTCTCCTTCCCCATGTCTGCCGGCTTGCTTCAATATGCCACTAAGATGTCTGCAAGTGAACCCGCAAGAGGTAATT